TGATGTAAAGGATAAAAAATACTGAAATATATTGTAGATAATGTCCTCACTCTTTGTTATTGTGGGCAATTTATCATAACAGTGTGACATGTCACTTATACTTGACCTCCATTCTGCAGGTGGAAACACAGCAGTCTCTCAGTATTTGAGTTTAGACCCAACCTGATTTATTTATCTAACTCAAAACCAGCCATTTCATCCCATTTTGTCTATATCATGGATTCAGTTCTCTTGCCCAGAGATAGCCCAATGTTGCCACATCCACACCAACACATACTGTGCATGCTCACAAGCTCTGGCCCCATTTCTTGGTGTTTGTGCTCCATCTCATGCTCTCATTATCCCTGCTTTTATCTACTGTTGAGCCCTCTCACTAAAGCCCTCTGTAACAATCCTGCTTGTTGAAAGCACTTTATAAATAAATCTGACTGGCCTCGACTTGGCTCCTGCAGCTACTATCTCTCGCCGGCGTCTCATCTCTACATTGGCTGGTTTGCCTCAAAAATTAGAGGCATTAGAGGCATTAAGCTCTTATCTACATAGATAATCATGTGATTTAAATTCTGTTTAGTTGAGATTAAATTGACCATTAGTTCCAATTTAGCAGGAGAGAGTCGGTGTGGCTGCCCTCAGGAACAACAGAGCCACTGTCCTGAGAGTGACACAGCCAGACAGCCTCACTGTACTGCCCTGTCATGGAAATCCGAAGTGTGTTTAATACATTTAGCTCGCGGCGATAAATTGTTCTTTTCATAGGGGTGAATATCTATGTCATACAATTACAGCCGACAGGGTTAGTTAGTATGAGACGCTTTCCAAGAGGAAGCAGCTTCCAGTGTACGCTTTATTAGGTAGTACAAGGTGGTGCAACACAGGTCTGGGTGTGACATGAATCAAACATGAGGAATGTGTGGTGGGAAGAAAAAGACGGCCTGTTCGCTGCTACAGGGTGAGGCAGGAGGGACCTCTACTGGCTGACTGAGGGAAGTGTCTCACCACAAAGCACCACAAGAGGCAAAAAATCTGAGGTTCACGACCATTTCTAACTGACTGAAGATGGACCAACTTAACTCCATTATAACTGTCAACCTGTTTGGTGTCAATTAAACTTTATCATACCTGTAAACTAGGACAAAATGTTATATCATTTTTAGCAATAACATTAAGATTGCAATAAACGATTTTTTTCATTATTGATTATTTTGTCACTTTTCTTGATTAATCCATTAATTGTTTGATCCAGAAAATGTCAGAAAATGATAAAAATTGTTGATCACTGGTTCCCAAAGCCCATGGAAACATCCTCACATGTCTTATATTGTCCACAACCCAAAGATATTCACTGTCAGAGAGGACTAGAGAAACCAGAAAATATTCATATTTGAGAAGCTGAAATCAGAGAATTTGGACACTTTCTGAAAAAAAATTACTGAAACTGATTATTCTGCAATTATTGTAATAGTTGACAACTGATCGATTAATTCACTAGCTCTAAATAACATCACAACATCACACGTATACATGAGTAATGTACAGGAAATTAAAATTAGACTAATTAAAAGGTGTTACACTATAAGGTCGCTTTCACACTGCTGCCTTTTAGTTTAGCTGTGGTTCATGTTCACACTACAAACCAACCTAGAGCTGTATGCATTAGGCCATATGAACTGACACATGGGTAACTCATGGATTGGACTGTCATCCTGCATCACCAGCTGTACCAGAACCTGGGAGAAATCAAATTCTGGTGACTGACACATGGTCATGCTGCACTTTACTGAACCTTATGTGTTCATCTTATGTTCTCTGATGTCACTAAGCTCAGAGGCTCATATATTAGTACCAGGAAAAATCCACACACACATACAGCGCAGTGCCTCATTACCACTACTGCGATGGAACGAAACTTAGCAATCAACTATCTCTTTCTCTAGAATGACTGACCCCACCCTTAAAAGCTGCATGTATCTGGTGAAATGATGCAACTTCTAAAGAATTTAAAACACACAACACAAAAACATTTCCCCTACTCTCACATTTTCTTATCTGATAATGGTAAAACACTGTAAAAATGAACTGAAAGAATAGGTCCCCCTGTAGATTTGTGCCATAAAGCAATGTCTTTTTTGTGCTGAACACAGTGTAGAATCTTTAACAGAGGCCCTAAATGCACACAATATAAAACAAATTGATTGTGTACTCAATGTACAAAACAGTATGCTATAAAGATTAGTATTGTGTACAGTTCGAATGTAGTATGGAATTGGGACACATGTCTGTGACTGTAGGAGTAATTGCTGTTCACCTACCCAGGCACTTGTAGAGGCCCTGACTTATCCAGGCCAGGATCGCCAAGGTTATGAGGTCACCAAAACTGGCGGCAATGGGTGTGGCCACGTTGTCTGGGTTGATGCCCGTCTTCTTCGAACCCACAATTACACCCACCATGATGATACCTGAACATGACACAAGCAGGGTGGAGCAGAACGGTCCTCACATTACTTCCAGACATTATGATACACACAGTCAGTCAGCAAGAAATAAGTGTTTGTGTCCGTTACAGAGGCTGTTTGTGAGGAGGACAGAAGTGACCCACATTCTCCACAGCGACAGTATTAACAGTTTATTTTAGACTGTGGTACTCAGCTGTCTGTGTGTGTGTGTGTGTGTGTGTGTGTGTGTTTACCCTGCAGCAGGGATGCTATGAAGGCCGTGGCCACACTGCTAGAGCAGAGCAGCACAGCATGGCTCATCTGGAACTTCCCCTCCGGTATCCAACCGAGGACCACGGCTGCTACGGCAGCCAGGAAACCCACCACAGTGGCCTGAACCTGGAGGAGAGACGCAGAGAGACTCTCTCTTATAGATTATACTGTAAAAAACTAGCACTATTATGTGTGTGAAAACAGGCAAACAGTGTTTAAAGGATTAGTAAAATGCTTAGGTAATGTTCGCTATAAACAAGCTTGTGAAATATTCTAACTAACATCACGTGCAGGTAGATTTTTCTACTGCATTACATAACACTTCCTGCTGACCCATGTTATTGCATAACATATCAAACAAACAGTGCGTCAAAACACACAGATGTAGCGTGTGTTAGGGTGTGTTTATCGGTGTGTGGGTAGATGATTAGCAGAGTCTGTACTCAGTCCTACAACACAGGCAGCGATCAATAGAACAGTCTGAGTTAACGCCCACATGGGTCCAACCAATTACAGGCAGCACTAATGTGTACCAAGAACATTAAATACATGAATATGACAGTATGTAGGTGAGGTTTTGTGCCTATATTAAATATAATTAAACTGGATTATTTATTATAATATTTAAACCAGTAAAGGAACCTCTAAAACCCACATTCAATGTTATAAGGAAAACTGAATCATGCATATTTGTGTGGAAGCTAAAAGTATATAAAAATTTGGACTAATTCAAGCTACCATTGCAGCATGGGTTCATTGTAATGAAAGGGCAATATTGGCAGTACGTGCAGCAACTGTATGTGTGCGTGATTACCTGCTTCAGTGCCAGGTTGCCTATGATTAGATTCCACTTCTCGATGGGAGAATCCATCTTGCCCACATTCACCTGTGCGAAAAGAAGAAAGAAAAAGCAAATGTAATATTCTATGACTTCCATGACTGCATATCTATGACAGAGCCCCTTTGTGACCTTCAAGGTCTGTAGCCTGTTGTCCCCCAATTTTAGAGGACCAAAACTAAGTGGACAAATTATTTTCTTTGTCATATATGACAGTAAA